CTTGGCTTTCTCCATCACTGGAGCAAGCAAGCCTCCTTTCGTTTCAAGCTGCCTGGCTGCCGGCCGCCATCTTGGTTGGCAGTTAATTTGCATATCACCCTGATTAGCCAATGGGAAGCGTGTCGGAGGTATGGTTAATTACCATGTTTGTCTATTATTAGATAGGATAATGTGAAAATGTTTACATTATAAGAAAAAATACCAGATACCAGGTATAAGCTTTCCTCCTCATTTAAATTACTCCTGGCATATTTCACATAAATACAATATAGAACTTTTTTTAATGCCTGTATGTGGCTAAATATGTGAACAAAATTCAAAAGAACTATCTATCTATCTATATCTATATCTATATGAAAGCCTAAGGCACTGTTACAACCAAATGACTGAAAAGACCAATCAACCAGTCACTATGATACGCACTGACCACCAGGGGGCAGATGCTCAATGCAGGAGCTGGCCCCTAGTGGTCAGTGTGCTCCCACAGCCAACTTCCCTCGGCCAGCCAACCTCCCGCAACCCCTCCCCGCCCTCCCTTCCCCCGGCCCCTATCAGGACTGGGTGAGACAACCCCAATTGGCCCTGATCTCCTACCAGGTGTAGGGACCCCACCCATGCATGTGTATAATAATCAAAGCTGAAAGAACCTGTACTATAATGGGGAAAGAGGTTCACTGTGCCATTTCACATTTGTTTCATCTATTTTAAATTAAAGATAACCAAAGCTCCATTCTCCAGCAGCACTGTTTCTCTACTTGAAAGACTTGACTCTCAGGTCATCATAAGCGCAAGACTATGTTCTGTCTGCAGGGGACTCACAGTATCATTTTCCACCTTCAAATGATTAACAAATGAGAGAATACAGAAAGGGTGTTAAATGCATCTGAATAACTTTATTTTTATATTCCTCACCCAAGGATATGCTTTTATTGATGAGAGAGAGAGAGAGAGAGAGAGAGAGAGAGAGAGAGAGAGAGAGAGAGAGAGAAATAAATGTTGATGTGAGAAAGAAACATGATCTGTTGCCTCCCAAACACCCCCTAACCGGGATTGAACCTGCAACTTAGGTTTGTGCCCTGACCAGGAAGCAAACCCGAAACCTTTTAGTGCATGGGACGACACTCCTACCAACTGAGCTACATGGTCAGGCCATAACTTTGAAATATAAATTAGGCTAGTCTGAGTTGGAAAGTTATCATAAGGGGCAACACTTTCTCCAAGATTATTCCACACAGGAGCCAACCCGAAGATCATGCTGGCCCCTACTGGAAACCCACTTACATGTTCTTCACTTATTCATTGAGCAAATATTTATCGAGTACCTACTATATCCCAGCTGTTGCAGGCAGTGGGGACATAGGAGTGAACATGACAAAGCCCTGCAGGACAGCCCTGTCCACTTTCCTCCTTTATCTCTGACACATCTCCTTACACATCCCCTCCCTGCTGCCTCTCCCACTTCCAGCATCTGCACCAACTGTTCCCTCTGCTTGGAACATGCTCCTCAGATATTCCCAAAGTTCACTCCCTCACTAATGTTTATTTCCTACAAATGCCATCTCCTCAAAGTTTGCATGAAAATTTCTCCATAGCAACTTATATATTTGTTGGCTGTCTTTCCCATTAGCTCAAGAGGGAAAGGTTTTGTCATGTTCACTCCTATGTCCACACTGCCTACAGCAGCTAGGCATATAGTAGGTACATGATAAACATTTGCTCAATGCATAAGTAAAAAACATTACTGGAATTCAAATGGAGATATTTTAAGTTGTAATTAGTAATAAAAAATAAACTAAGAACATTCAATTCTCACCTTCAACCACAAAATTTTGTGCACCTGGGGGGGGGGTCCTTCAGCCCGGCCTGTGCCCTCTCGCAGTCTGGGACCCCTCAG